GACCTCTTGTAGGCTCAGACAGTGTCTGTGCTGTGAGCATGGTTCGTGTGGACACGCTGCCATTCTTCACAGGCACACAGGACTTGCTGCAGCTTGGCCTCTGCCCCATCCTGTCGCTGCTTTTGAGGAGATGATCAAAAGAGTCCTAGCTCCCACTTTGATGGGTCCCAGGTGCTTTGCTGTGCCCACAAAGCAAGTGGCAGCAAGGAATGTGAAGTTGGGATGCCAGAGTATTTCAGTTTCAGCTTCCATTAGGACTGTCAAGCTGTGCAGAGGGAGATGAGTGACCCCACACAGCAGGTGACAACAGGCTATTGAAGCCCCTTCTAACCTGGGAGGAGAGAGGCTGTGCTGGCTGCTCCTTCTGAGGGCAGAACAAGTCCCCAGCAGTCTGTACATGACCTGTATCTGTGCAGTTTGATGGGCCCTTCTATAATTAACCATTGTCAAGAACACTTCTGAAAATGCTGGCTGGCATTTCAAATAGGAACATCAGATTAAGGAGAAGAGAGGTAATGAGGTGCAAGGAGAAAATCTTTCCCTGGGGAACAAATCAAACCTGATACCATCATGAAAGGTAATGAGAAATGCACTGCCAAACTGAGGTTCACTGTGGCTGCCTAGAGGAAACAAAACTATGTATTCTTATTTAAAACACTGAGAGGGGATGCTAATGCTTTGGTCTGCTGCCTAAGTCAGGCCATGTACAGCTTGCACACCTGCCTCTTGAATGCAGTTTTGCCACACATTTCTTGAGTCCTTGGGCCAGTCATTTCACTTCTTTGTGGCATGAGGTATGTCTACATGATTTTAAGGGAGTCAGTGCAAACAGAGTGTGCCTGTACACCCATAGGATAGGTTCAGAAGCTGTGACTGCATCTACTCTGCCAGACAACACAGGGCTAAGTGGCACAGATAAGTCCCATCCACACTACACAGAACCTGGGTTCTCTTCGTTTGTCTGGAGGAGCCAGACCTGTACCCTTTTGTCTTTACTGCACATGGCAATCCTGTCCCCTGGAGCAGTCATGGGTGTCACCTGGTCCAGCAGTGCCAGACACTGCACTGACAATTAAGGTATCGACCACCTGTGATCCTGTAAATCAATTTGTTTTCTGGCTGTGCTGCATTTAGCAGTATAAACGAAGCCTGTGTGGCCGTGTCAGCATGGCTGTGTGCCCACACTGATAGACAAGTCAGGGTGTATTATTTCATTCATGGTGCTACACAGTTGGAGGAGCTGTAGCCACAAGAGCTTATGCCATAGATATGTTGAATATTAGGTGACTGTCACCATAATTACTAACCTTACTGGTATATCCAGTAGCTTAAAATGTGCAAGAACCATGGATATTCTCTACACAGAAGTTGGAGTAAAATGTTGTTGCTTGAGAGAGTGTTTCCAGCTTTCAGCAATTTGCAGACCACATCCAGGTTTTCTAGGGGAAGCATGGCTCACCTGTAACAAAACTCTCTTGACTGTGGATGTGCTTTCCTGGGCTCTTGGCATGTGGACACAGGACCCTTGGGGATCCAAGAACCATCAGTTAATGTCTACAGACACATGGGAGACAGTGGACATTACAGGGAGATGGGCAGATGTTGAATGGGAGACTTCCCCTAACATGTTTTATGAGGCACTAAAACGCCTGATGTGGTGTTTGATTTTCGAGTACCTGCTCTGTCTTCTCAGAGACAAGGATGCTATTTCACACAGTGGGCTGTAAGAACAAGGGCAGCAGGTGTGAGGATGGAGCAAGCCACAGTTCTGAGTGGCAGACAGTAGTCCTGCAGGGCTGGGAGAGCTGGGCAACCTGAGGACCCCATGCCACAGGGGGCATGTTCGTATCCTCAGCTGCCATCCTGTTGATGTACCCTCAGTGCTGATAGCAATCTTAAGTGTCTGCAATCTTGGTCACATCTGTGTGTCACCTCTTTTCCTGTGACACCTCTTCCCCCACACTGCCACAGACACCACAAGAGGTTTTGTTGCTCCCCAAGTTATATGTTGGAGAAGCATTTACTCCATGCAGCTCTCTGCCATCCATTCTAGATCCTGATGGTAGATTTGGGACTAATGCTGTTTGAGCTGCCCTTGGGCTTCTTGCAGGGTTAGTTGTGCCGTTTTTTTCTACCAAAAATCTTGAAAGACATTTTACTTAAATCTTGTGCAGTGTGAGTTGCATGGATATCAGAGAACATGTAGTGAGTCAGAGAAAGGCAGTCAGTATTGCTGTGCTCCACAGAAGAAAAATATAAAGGTAACTATTACAGTATTTGCAGCATAATTTTTCATACTGAGATTTGCAAAAGCTTGTTTGAGTTCTTCAGCATAAACCCCTCATGATTATAGAGGAGCCAACTTGTTAAAAGAGTCCCTGTTTCTCTAGAGAACCCAGAGGAAAACAGTGCTTTAATACATCCAAATTCACTTGAGGTGCCTGATGCTTTCAGTTAAACTCCACAGAAAATATATTTCTTCCCTTCACTGTTTTTGCCATTTCCGTCTTTCCCTAGTGTTTCCCCTGACTTGTCTTGTTCATGTCTTTAACACAAATGTAAGGAGAAATGGCACCTTTTTGCTCTGCAGATTTGCCCCCTGTGTGCATTCTTCCTGCCAGCAGCAGACTGCAAATGTTTCCTGCTTTTTGTCTTGAGAGGCACCTGGAGTGAAAACAGCTGAAACAGACTATGAGGCAGTGTGTTCAGTTCTGTGCATTATGACTGATTGGTACTTACTGGTTTCTGGGCCACCTGAATACCTACAAAAGGCTGATGTGAGGCAGGTTGTGGAGAGAATAAGTAGGAGTAACCTGGGGAGGGTTTGACCTGCAGAATCTATTCCTGACCTTGCTAACAGGGGGCTGGTTTCTGGCTTCTAATCCATAGGCCTGACAATTGCAAGAGCAAACTGAGGGCATGTGACATGGTATGTCCTGTATGATGTACATGGTGGCACCATGAAAATAGCATCTCTTTTCAGGGAGACTGTACTTCTGCCTTTGGGCCTCTCTTTCTCTTTGTTTGCCATTTGCTGCTTCACTCATTTCACTGTCCTGTGTGTCAAAAGTTGACTGCAGTGTGGTAAAACACCCTGACCCCTTTTTAATCCAACCTGTATTATTCTGTGGTGTGTCCTTTGGCTAATTCTCTCCCCTTACCCCCCTGACCTCCTTAGAAAAGCTGTGCTTCTTGACTGTACAATGCTGGAACTGCAAGATTGATGTTCTCTAAGCATTTTGCACTGTGTTGCCTTGCATATTTTATATCAATGTTCTAATTAAGACATTAGATCATGATGGATGAGTGTTCATGTCAGTGACTCTTCTCTGAACAATGAAGAGTGGAAAGAAATCTCCAGGGGCTTGGGAAGTGTGTACAAATGAGTTGGTCTTATGTGAGCTGTTAGCATGCTCTTCCAAGCAGAGTTTGGAGTTTATATGTGATCTCAGATGGGATTTCCTCTAAACTGAAAAACTCTCCTTTGCTCTGGCTTTTCTACTAAATGCTCCCCACACATCTCCTTCAATGGTGAGCATCATCCCTCAGATGTAGTAAAATCAGCTTAGCCCAAAATGGCAGGAAGGAATAGGTGTGGGCATGGAAAAAGCAGAAAAATACCTGACCAGGTCCAAGCTCTGGTGAAGGAGCAGAGTCTGGTCACAGAAAAGCTGCTCAAGGCTAAGCACTGTTCCTGTGAGAAGGCAGAAGCAGTGGACTGAGACTCTTTCCAGAGTTTGCTATTTGCTTTCTTTCCAGACTTGTGTCAGCTGTCTTTTAGTCTGTATTACCTTTCCACTCCCTGCCCTTCTCCCCTTAAACGTCTGTCTGCTACAGCAGCAAGAAAGAAAAGGCTTTCTTTGCATTGTGAAAGGAGTAAGTGGGATGTTCCTGGGCTCAGGAGTCAGCCCCAGGCCAGTCCAGCTCATTTGTTTGGAGGATGTCTGTGCAAGACTTCTGACACTGAACATACCAGCCTTGCAGAAGTGACGGGGATGTGCAGCAGCCTCCCTGCCTGGTGGTCACTCCTCGTGGCAGAAGGTTTCAGTGATGTGAATCAGCTCCTGAAACAAGTGTGCAGCCAGGTGTAAACAGCTGGCTCCCTGGCATGGTGCTGATCCACATCCCCTCACAGAGCATGAGCAAAGCAAGAACTCTTGCCTTTTTCTCTGGAGCTGGTTGGTGGGGTCTTGTGTTGGAGTTTCACCAGCCAGTCCAGGTGATTAGCAGCTTATGCATCTTATTTCAGTTTTTTTAAATGATTTTGAGTTCAAATCAAGTGCAATCTCACAAAAATCCTGGAAGGAGGGATATTTAGGGCAGGGAAGCAAAATGTCTGTGTGTGCTGCTGGAACAACAGTGAAAATTGTTGGAGGCCAAGAAGGAAAGTCCTTCAGGACAAAAGGATCCTGACATCACAAAGGGAAGAGCCTTCAAATCTTCATCTTGATATTAAACGGCAAATTACCACTTTCAGAATATGTTGTATTCAAGGCTTTTTGGATTTGGAAGGTCAAGAGTAGGTTCATGGCATCTTACAGTGGTGTCAAGAAGATGTCCCCTCTCTCTCTCACATGTCTTCTTTTCATTCTTTCCTTTTCTATTTTTGTGTCTGATGTTGAAGTTCGTTTGATTTTCTGATTCCTCCTGCATTTAATTTCCCTGAGTTCAGTCTTTGTCTGGATTTAGCGTCATAATCATTTGTATTTGGAAGTGTGGGGTTAAAATGATAAAATAAATTTGTTAAAAGGTAGGGTTTTTTCCCATCCAGCTTTTCAAGATCTAATTATTTTTCAGCTGAACTAGTATGCAGTTGATAAGATGAAAATGTAAATTTACAGGTTTAGTATTCAAAGTATTTTTCATCTGATCAAAGAAAGGGAAGAATTTTACAAAATACAAAGCTTGCATTCTTGCAAATATCTGAAGTTATATGGTTGTAGTCAAGCCATCAGGAAATCCACAGGGCATCCACTAATGCTTATTTCATTTTTCTGCAGGAGGTCTTGACCTTATCTTCATGCCAGGCCTTGGGTTTGACAAAAAAGGCAACAGATTGGGAAGAGGGAAAGGATATTATGATACCTATCTTGAAAGATGTATGAAACATCCCCGTGGAAAGCCTTACACGATTGCTTTGGCTTTTAGAGAGCAGATTTGTGAATCAGTGCCTGTGACAGAAAATGATGTTCCAATAGATGAAATCCTTTATGAAGACTGCTGAAAGTGTTTCAATACCAACCCACCTCCAGAGCAAGCAACCAAAGGTGTCAAATCTACTAATCATGGTTTTTTCTAATTGTCATGTACAACTTTGGGACCAGTAAAATACACTATTTGTGTTTGGGAAAAAAAAAAAAACTCCAAAAACAGTGTAACTGTGGTAATAGTAGTGAAGATTGTGTTGATTTGCTTTTAATTAGCAAATATCTGAATGTGTGAATTGTTATTCTAGAATCAATGCAAACAAGAATGAGTGACTGTTTATTACAGTAAGGACCATTTCTTCTCATAATATTTTTGAGGTACAAGCTTCTTGATAGTTAGCAATTTTATTATTCTGGTTTAAAAGTGAACTGTCTAGTAATAACAGTTCTTGATCCATTCTGGAATTAGATACTTGTAATGGTAAAAGTTCTTAGTACTTAAATATTGTGTGCATCCATGAGCAAAGCAAGAAATTGATGGAGATGTCTTAGAGTAAGCTGGGAAAAAATGGTGATGGGAAAAAAGCCTTAATTAATTTTAGTGTATGCAGTAGTTTTGACTGTTTACTTGGCTCCTTGCAGTTGTCTTAAAATAAAGGGAGTACCTGTTCTGTTAATAAAAAAAGTTTTATGTCCGTAACTTTGGTATGTTCTTTCCTTTATCTGAACACAAGATTGTAACGTAGTCTAAAATATGGTCAAGGAGTTCTCTATCTGGAGACAGCTCTTTTTTGGTAAAATAATATTCAAAATTACTTAAAATTCTCTTGATTTTGTGCATAAGCCATACATAATGCCCCAAAATACTGTGTGGAGCTATGTGAAAAAATGAGGGATGCTGAGAATTGCAGAGAGCAGGTTTTATGGATGGAATAAATTTTTGGGTGGAAGATTGGTCATTCTCTGCTTCTCCAGACAATCATGGAAATATAGAGGAAGATAGTGAGTTTCCTCTGCACTGTCCTTGTAGTATAAGAACACAATCTTTCCAATCAAGATCAATCAAACTGTCAGAATATTGTGTTCTTTCTTCAATGCAACTTCACCTTTTCTATGCATGTTTAACTCTTCCCTCAATCAATAAATCAGTGCGTTTATTTTCACCAAACTACTCTGTGTCATCATTAAAAAATCCCTAAATTCTCAAGGATGAACTCCAGAGTGGAATGACCTTAAGGCTTCCTCAATAACAACTGGTTTTGTGAACAAAGCCATGCCTGCAGCAGCTGTGAACCTTTTCTTCTCAGAGTGCTTATATTCAGTGCTGTTTCCATTCTGCTAATCCAGGAGCTATTTAAACCCTCTGGCTCTGGGGTGAACATAAGCTTATCAACTGAGATCTCTCTGGCCTGTGCTCCCTGGTGCTTCATCCATCCTTAACCAAGGTCCATCTGGCCGGGCTGAAGATCCCTCTGGTGTTGGCCTGCTGTGCACCCACCCAAGTGTGCAGGAAAGCTGCAGCCTGGGCAAGGCAGCTGGTAGCACTTTGCAATATGGGCTGCTTAAAAAAACAGTGGTGATCAGAGCTGGCCTTCCATCCCTTCCTTATCCTCCTGCAAACGAGAGCTGTGTCCATGGGTGCACAAAGGGTGGTGCAAGCAGAAATTGAGGTGGCAGCATCGGTGCTGGTGCAGTTGTTGGCGTGTCCCTCAGGTCCTCTCAGCTCTGAGTATTGCCAGCTGTACTGCCTCACATGAGGGAGACAGAGTCCTGCCATTCCAGGCCTTTGGGGAATAAAAGTGATGAGAAAATCAGACCTTTTTTTTTTTAATCTCTATCACGTCAGGATTTTAATCCCTTCATTTCTGAACTTCCATTAGCATATGGTGACCAACAAAATGAAACAATGGGGCAGGGTTTGTGTGTGGCAGGCCTGTTCCTGGCTTTGTCTGCAAAGCTGCTTGAGTTCACCTACCACGTTAGGCCCAGCACTGTGCCATATGGCACAGCCTGCCACCAACATCAACAAAGCCACACTGAGGCCAGTGCTTGTCACAGCAGAAACCTGGAACCTGCGTCTGATTCATGTTTTAAGTGCATATATTAGCTCCAACACTGTGTGGCCCTTTGGCTTAGCTTTTGATCTTGCTGTCTGAACTTTGATTTATTCACTGGAATAAGGGCTGCTTGGCTTGTAGGTATTTCACTACAGATGATACCAGGTGAACAACTTTGTACAGAAAGGCCAGCATATGGGGAAGAGGCTTCAGAGCCAACACTAGCAGCTGTACAGAAACAAAGGGCTGAGAGAAAAGGACTTGGTTTTGTTGTGTGAGAGTTCAAAATAGGAGGGGGGGAAATGAAAGGCAAGATTTTGGATGCAAAATACAGGCCCTCATCCAGCACAGCCACAGTTAGGCTCCAAGTTTTGTCCTTGTGGGCTCACTGGAGTTGCTGGAACTAATTGGTGTAGCAAAAGCAAGCAAGCTTTGAAGGCTTTCAGGACTTGAGGCAATGAGTGTCCCCAAACTTCTTATGTCTCAGATCACTTTTTGGTACCTTGTGTAGCCATTCTCTGCCACTTCCACTCCAAACTGCCCTTTTGGCTACGGCTGCAGTGGGAAAGGATTAGGAGACTATTTAATGTGCTGTATCATTGGGAACAAGAGGAGCTGGTGCTTTGTTCCTTGCCAGCCTCTCCTGAGTCTGGAGTTGATCATTACAGACTGCTCTCCTACAGGGGAGCTGCAGGACCCTGGCTGATGCAGATAGCTCTTAACATTTAGCTGGTGGGGATAGTAAAACGATATTTATGTATATTGTCTTGAGAATCACGGAGCTAAATAAATGTGACAGTTTTCATTTGGCATCCCCAGCCTTGCTGCTGTCGCTCAGGGTTTTTCTTTTTGCCACAGAACATGAAATCACTGTCAGCTTGATAGTATATAGCAGTGTTCCTGAAGCACAGAGGTTAGGGGGGTGGGAAGCGCGTCAGGATTATTTACATTTGCTATGCATGAAGTGGCACTCGGGGAGCGAGGCAGGCTGCCAAGACGGAGAGGAATAGGGGCTGTCTGGTTGCTCTCTTGTATCTCTCCATGCTGGATTGTCAGGGTAGGATTTATAAAAATTGCTTCAAAACAGTATCATCTTTCCTCAAATGGACATGCCCCCGTCTGGAGCAGTGATTGCCATTATTGCTATTCTCATGACAAAGCGTCCATCAATCTCCACTTTGTTTATAAACAAATCTGCCTGCCCTGCATAAGAAATAGATAAACTAAGGAAAAACACCATTACCAAAGGAATAAGTTAATTATATTGCAGCATCTCAGCAGGGAGTGCTATCTCAGACTATTCAGTAAGATCTGACCAGTGGAGTTATAATTAAAAAATGTCCCCAGGGAGGAACTTGTAAATTATTTACTGTAAGGGACTTTTCCAGGCTCTTTTAGTTTAATTACACACTCTGTAAGAGAAAGGCCTCATAACCAAATTAACTAAGATGTTGAAATGGCTTTGTTAAAATCATGTTTACAGCTAAGCAAGTGGGTGACTGTGAGCAAAGTTCAAATATAGGACAAATCTTTGAAAGCTGACATTTACTCATGGTTTAAAAATCATACGGAAAGCACCAAAAAGTCTGTGCATAGAAAATACAATTGCTGGTTTTGTCCAGTATTCCCACTGGTCTCAGAAGGCTTATTATGAGCCCAGATCTGAGAGTGTCTCATGGCCATTTCCTTTGTGGGAAGGGAACTGACTTCTGTGGGCTTTTCCATAGGGTACAGAGGAAACTGGTTGGACTTGATGATCTAACAGGTCTTTTCCAGCCTGAACGATTCTATGAGTCCAAGATTCTAAGCCCTAACAGAGGGAGATGCAAGATGAGAGATGATGGAGGGGCAGAATAAGAGGATGCTGGGGCAGTCTGAGTTTTCTGTCACTCTCTCACCATCTAGTACATTTTTACTCAAAACAGTCTGGTTAACCCTTAGTGGAAGGTGGTCTGAGTGTGTCCCTTGGTGCTGAGGGACAGGCAGATGTTGTGACCTTTTCAAACCTTTTCAAATGTGGGTGTAGACAGCTGGCGTGATCTCTGGTCAGATGTGGAGAATGGAAGTCAAGAAAGCTCCCCCTTCATCTCAACCACTGACTCATTGCTTGGCCAAGAAGGAGGCATTATCTAATATCTGTTTGCTAAGGCATAAGGCAGCCAGGAATACTCTATCTGCCTGCCTGTTGATGCCAAATTCTATGTATGTAATGGCCTTTCAGCTGCAGTTGCCCTTGAATTTGTTTCTTTCTGAAAAGCCCCATGTCTGCTGTGGCACCTTCCCCACAGAGCCAAGGGCTGCACAGAGCAGCCAGCCAGGCATGGCTGCTGGACCCATATACACATATGGGCACCTCTCTTCACTCTGGGTCTCCTTTTTCTGTCAAATGTCTTGCACTTGCATGTCTTGCTTAGATGGAAATTGCCCCAGACTTAGGAATCTCTTGTCCCCCTGCATGTGTACAGTCTTCAGCCCATGCCATGTGATGGTAGCCTGAGGGTTCTGTTATCACATCCTAAGCAATAAGTTCTCCACCTTCAGGCAAACTATCTGCAGATCTAGAGATGAAAGCTGCTTTAGTCGTTCATCAGGCAGATGAGATCTCTGCTTTTATTTTGTTATACTGTAAATCTGATGCTTAGTTTTCTAGTGTCTCTGCAAACTACTGAATCATAAAAGTGCTTGTAGCAAATGCCAGCTTGTCTGTCACCAGTATAATGCATTTTAAATGGCTTATCAGCTCCAAGAGAAGACTACAATACTTTGGAGATTATTTGGATATATAGTTAGTGAACAAAATATGTTGTCAGCTTTTGAATTGTCTTGACCAGTAGGTTTTAGTTTGAATTTTATTATAGTATATCCAGTAGCACTTTGGGAAGAAAGAGGATATCCCTAAATTTCTGCAAATGTAGCCTTTTGATGGGGAAAACCACAGAAGAAGAGTGGAGTGGGCCAGAATGTAAACTAAAGGATTCTTCTTGAAGGTGCAGGACTATAAGGTTTGAATATTCTGAGCAGAAGTACTGCCATTTAATTATTAGGAGTGTTGAGTCCATATTAACCTTTATGGAAAAGTACTGTAGGCTATAATAAAGCTGAATACCTTTCTATAGCCTTTTGTTATCACCTTGTCAAATTTAATAAAATATTACTGACAAAAAAGCTCTATTAGGATGGCTAAAATACGTACTGGAAAGGATCATTTCCTATTAAATAGTTTAGATTCACCATTCCCCCCACAGTATGTGAGTATCCAAGTGGTGGAGCAGGTCACTGGTCATTTCCAATTGAATTTTGGGGACTTCCTTCTGCTCCTTATCCCTGTTTTCCAGCTCAGGGGGCAGGCTACCTGCTGAACAACTTGTCTCACTATTAGAGACAAAGGCAAAGAAGGTATTAAGTACCTGAGCTTTTTCCTCATCCTCTGTCACTTTCTCCTCACATCCAAGAAAGGATGGAAACTCTCCTTGGTCCTCTTTTTATTTGTAATGTATTTATAGAAACATTTTATAGCACCTCCCAGAGCAATTGCCAGGTTGAACTCTAGTTTGCTATGTGCCCAAGGAAGCTTTGAACCATCACATCACCACTTCTGTAATTCCTGGTGTGGGAAAAGGCCGTGGTCTCCTGGGAACACCAC